CTATGTTTATGCGAGGCTCTAAACCTAACTTTAATCGAAATCTGAGTTTGAAACCTAAGTTCAAATTACGGCATGAGCAATGCGAAACTAACGAAATGTAGGTTTCCGAAATTTGTGTTTGAAACCTTATTTTACACTAAAGACTAGGTTTTTGCATTCCGCATAAAGGAACTGGAGGTTGAAATTCAACTTGAAATGCTATTTTAAGGTGGGGGATCGGCAACATGGCGGATTTGTTATCACGACGTTCGTAAACAACTGGTGCTTTTCTCATGATTTTTTTGTAATTTTGCCATTAATCAACATTTTATAAGGTCATAATTTTAGTAATTATTTTTAAAGCACTGTTATGTAATTCCGTAAGTCGTATGTGGCTTATTTATCCTGATATAGTACATTTTTAAAAATGAACATAAAATTATTAAACATCCACTGTCAATTTTTCGACTATTCCTCGAAGAGTCAGAAAAGACTTTTCTAGTGAGGATGAAGTCTCGCATGTATTGTGGAATATACACGGGATAAAATAGTAATGATATATTATTAAATGATTTCATAGCCGATAAATTTATTATAGCTTGTGAAAAAGGGATAAACAATGGCGGATTTGTGTCACGACGTTTCTGCACAGGTAGTGTTTTTCCCTCGATTTTTCTGTAATTTTGCCCTAAATCAACATTTTCTTATGGTCTTAATTTCGGTAATTGTTCTTTAAGCACTTTTACGTAATTCCTTAAGTCGTTGTGGCTTATCCATCCGGAATTAGCACTAAGTAAGACGTTGTTTTCCAGTGAGGGTGTTTGGTGTCAAATCAAAGGTGGCTTATCACTGTTTTTTCAAACTATTCTTGCTGCAGTTAAGATATAATTAAACCAAAATTTGGTCACTTTAATCCAAGTTTAATGACTAAAAACACAGAACAAATGGCCGTGGTTTTAATCAACTCCAATTTTAGTCGCCACAACTCCAAATGTTTGTGTGAAAGTGTGTTAAAATATGAAACGGACAAAATTTACTCAAATTATTCATTTTCTCCCATTACTTCTTTCCTTTACCTATTTTATTAGTTGATGACACGCATTTCTGCATATTGTGTTGTCTTACCTAAAGCTCATGCTACTTTCCATCCATCCAACTTTACAGGCTACATTTACAATTGAAAAATAGTCTTACTAATTTATCATCTGCGGAAAATTATTTTAACTACATCTGCACAATTCACTTAGGATTATCAGATAAGGTACCCTGCTTCCTTTAAGTGCATCAAAGTTTTTTCACTTGTATCTACCGATCAAATAAAAAAGCTGATTGAATCAGAGCTGTAGCTCTTGAATGTGTGTGTTAGCAGTGCATCTATTTCCTTATTAATTATCTAATTGAAAGTGAACAGACCAGCCACTAGCATGACCTGCTGACTTATTTCTTTGATCTAATCTCTTGTAAATGATGACTCAAATTCCAAGACCATCATTTATTGCAACTGGCTCAAAGTTATTGCTCCAAAGAATGGTCATCCTCCTTATATCGAAACAGCAGAAAGGGGACTTTGTGGTAATTGCAATGGAGATTCTGTTCTCAGGGCTGCTGGTGGATTCTTCACTTTCGATGTCGTCTTCCATATCACTCTCATCTCAAACATACGACAATCGGTTTAGAAAAGGAATAAAACATTGGGGTGTTCAGATTGATGGTGAGGCCGATTAAGAAACGTACCTCTAGAATGACAACTTGTGTTCGAATAAATTTAATTCTTGCACAAGCCAATGATGATGTTTGGACCAGTTAAAGAAGGAAGGAAATGTTTTCCTCTCCGACTCGAAAGACGAAAGTTTCCTCTCCGAAGACAAAAGTTTCCTCTCCGAAGACGAATGTTCCCTCTGTGGAGACAACTTTCCTCTGTGGAGAGAAAACTTTCTTCTGCGGAGAAGAAACCCTACTCTCACAGAAAGTTAAGAGTGACATGAAGTAGCGTTTGCCGTTGAACAGCCGCGAGCGAACTTTTCCTGCAAAATAATCGTCAAAAATATGCCTTGAAATGACGTTTTAGCAATTTTGGAGGGCACCGGGAAGCTTTGAAAAATTGGTAATGTGTCGTTTCGCTCCAAAACACGAGGATTCAGACAATGGTGCTGTGCATAGTGATACAAGCAACCGTTCTCATGTTATGACCGTAAACCGATTTTGGGGCACTTACCCCCTCCAAACAACCCAAAGCCGTCATGCTATCAATGAGGACTTTTTTGGGGGGACTAAGGGGGTCAAAAGAATTCACCATGTCAAAAATCAGCCTGTTATTAAATTTTTCCTGTAACTGGCCGACTTTGTCGTATAATTCCTGGACTAACTACTGTTTGCCTGCTTTCTTTCTGTCTTGCTCATGAACTCAGAGATCAATTGGAGAGAGGGGTTGAGAAACAAGATTTCAACGCATGCCACTCGGAATATGGAAATTAAAAATCTGTGAAACGTACCTATCTACACAGGAAACTAATACCCGATACGGCAATGGATCATGAACTAATGGCACACTTTGTTCTTCCTAAAAATGAGCCAGAAATAGCAGTTCCTCATTGAAAATTGTCGTCAACTTAGTATCTTCAATTTCAAAATAGTATTGATTCAGTTTGTGATATTATTTGTCATAAATGTAATAATAAGTAAATGCTCTCAGCATTTTGCTGAAAACATAGCATAAGTGCTGTTTTTTTTTAATTTTATAGAGGAAAGTAAGGACATGATAAAAACTCATTTCATAGAATCCACTGCACTGCAATGTGCAAAAAAATTGAGGCACTGGGTGCAAGAATGGCACTTCTTGGTTGTGGTGGTTCAAAATCTCTACTAATATTTCATCAGTGAAGGAAATGCATGGATTTCGTTGAAATTTCTACTGAGTTATTTTTCATGATTCTGCAATTTTCTGTGGAAAAAATCCTGGAAAATTACCACTAGAAACCACTCTACTAAACAAATATGAGCGACATAGATTCTGGAACATCTTTAATAAGAGGTGCCCTTCTCGAGCGCAGAGCGTATCCGTCAGATACGCAGGTCACTTTCTTCGTATTTTCAATTATGAAGCGTTTTTCTCAGTCAGTAATGACTGTAGAGAAACGAAAATTGTTCAGAGTAAAAGTAAATTTCATGCTCTTAACATGTGGTCCTGTAAATTTTGCCGAAAAATGAAGTGGAAACGAGTAATTCACGAAAATCCGAACGCGCAACTGATTTTTCGAAGTACGCGCAACGCCGGCTCGTGCTGCGTGGGGCTCAGTCGCGAGCTCCCACCCCGCCCGCCCATTACGGAGTCCCACCAAGTGGCCTCGCTCAGCCGACACGGCGGGGAGAAGGTTGTGCACGGTCTACTCTATTCAATGTCTTTGCTACAAACTCTCTAAATGGTCCAGCCGTGCATGTTACCAAGTATTAGAATCTTATGAGTAAGAATGGAGTTTGTGGGATACTTAGAATATAACTGCCTTCAGTAAATTGTACAGAAAGAGAATGAAGTTTTTGATTCATCTACAAATCATGAAACACATTTTTTTGAAGAACTTGACTCTAAATTTTCACTTTTTCACCATAGAAATGGTTGGAATGGGCATTCAAACATATTTGGTGCCTCCAGTTGGTCGGACTGTGAGACCCTCATCTGGCAAGATTCCCAGCTCTTGGGATCAGGAGAATTTCGAGTGGTTTGTAGTCAGTTTCCCCCCATACTTGCCCCCTGCTGACCACTGAGCAAACCTTGTTTCCTCATTTCTGTGGGCTACTTGTATACTGCTAGGGATGGGGGCAGTAGTCGCGATAAACACGTTTCACCATTGCTAATAATGCAAAGGAAAAAACCTACTGAGAATTTAAAGTAACATGCTCGTCATACAATCCATGCCCGTCTTTAATAGATACTCTAAGTTGATCTTCGTAACTTTCCTGAAAATCTTTACTTCAGACAGCGATGAAATCATCAACACAGTAAGGATATTTCGATTGGGTGGTAAAGAAACAAATGAAAAGGAAAGGATACACAGCTATCAATTCTTCATTTGGCGTCACAAAATCTGCTTGCGCAATATTTTCCTGTTTCAAATGGAGTTAGATTTTTTTTGCAACTTTCAAAGTTTATTTCTTGGCTAAAATTTGATTAAATGAAAAACAAAAATTCAAGTGTTCTCATTTTACACAACCTCTGAAAAAGATAAAAAATTCAGCGACAGCCCCATTTAGTAATTTAAAATACGGAAGTGTAAAATTACAGAAAGAATGTTTTAGACAGCATGGTATGATTGGAGTCACTCAGTGAGTCAGCAAAAGTGACATAAAGAAAGAAAAGAAATGGATGAATCTTCCAAGGAAAAGAAGACTTCTTTTCCTTGCGATTATTAACGTGCCGGGCATGCAAATGCAATCTTCACCTATGTGACCCAAGGATAGGGCTAACAGAATTAGGAAGTTTCTGGAAAAATATCCGTGTTCTGACAGGAAAAAAAAATACAAATTGAATGAAAAAAAGTCATCATGTGGTAGGAAAAATATGAAGGATGGAAAAAGAATGGGTAAGAGTGGGTACACAAGATGATTTTGTGTATGAAATCTCGCTATTGCCAAGTCTCGAAGAAATCTGAACTAATGCACATAAATGGTCATACAGAAGATGATGGGCACAGAGGCAGTAACAAGTGAGAGGCATCAGTTCCCAAAAGGGTGCAGTAGGAGCTCTGTATGAGGAAACGGATTGGTACAAATAGGTGAATGACGTCCAGAGAGGGGAGATGGCAACTTTGTGTGAGGGACCCGATGGGTAGGAATGTGGAGCGTAAGCTGCGGAATGGAAGGGGTAGCGCACTGATTACAAGTTAAAGGTCAAACTCTCGTGGTTTAATATCATTAGAGCCAACTTGCCTTTATTTGGATGCTTAGCTTTTTTGAATTGCCTCACTATAAGAAAAAGATAGGGGTTAAAATTATGGAAAATTTTATAGAAAATTACTCGTCCATACCAAATTTTAAGTTGATATCTTCATCTGAAGTATCTTCCATGTAATTAGGATTGAACTTCAACCATGGCAGTTTGTATGTTTCTTGTGTCAAGCGTTGCCACATGCCTGAAAAGTAGGGATATAATTTCATTATTTCTATTGACAATCATCAACCCTCCAGCCTAGAGGTCACAACAAAAATTCAGGTCATAAAATTGAAGAGGGTCATGCAAACCTCCCATCTTTCAACAAACAGTACTGTGGTAAGTTACTGTGATAAGTTAACTGAGTATTTAGCTGGCACACTGATCAGAGCTCTTCCTTTTATCAAATTTGAGATGGCTATTAAAAAGTGTAAGATTAGCTATACAGAACTGCCCGAAGAGCAGAAATCTGCATTCTTTGTTGGGAAAATGTCGATCTTGTCAATCTGACGGCTTTTACACTGACAATGAGTGACATGCGTTCCCAGGAGCCCCACTCACACAATTGAATTGGGTCGTCATATCAAGGGACCATCCATGGTTTTGACAGATCACGCAGTAATGAAGACCTTTGACTGGGTGAGCTGAATTCACCACATGACTTAATGAAATGGAAAGCCTGATTCGATGTGTATTCGAAATGTTGTAACATTTTGCATTTGCTTACTCCATAAGAATAAAATCCGCGGTTTTACTTATAATCTGGTCTTATTAGATTTACAAAGAAGGTTTCTGGTGCACAGCCGATGTAATAACGTGTGTCTGAGATACCATTTTCATTGCTTCAAAGTGTAGAATTCGGTGTTTGGTGTAGAATTTTGATAACATTCGAAAATGAAACTGATACCCACCATTCAAGATAGCGCTCAAAATGGTTGCCCTAGAGGGCGGGGGCCATAGCTCTACAATTCGAGTACACTGATCGGTTTGATATCTACTTTTAAAGTAAAGAGCCTCCCAAAAAGTAGTCCCTTTTTTGAAACCCAGGGATTTCATTCGTATGTGGCCTAAATGAGACCTTGTGACGAGGGAAACCTCCAGTAAAAATTTTAGCTTGAGTATACGTCTGGTTTCCGAGATACAGCGTTGCAAAGTTTGCATACTTGGGTCATGTAAATTTTCATATTTTTACAAACTTCAAGGTAGACATTACGAGACTAACACACAGCATAAATATAAATCTATGATGTGAAAAGTCTCCATTGAAAGTTTTGACTCATGAATTTTTTTTTTTTTTTTTTATTCTTCAAATACATGTTACAACCACCTACTAGGTGTAAATTAACTTTTCTTTACAAATAAAATAACTTAGAAATTGACTAACGTCTAATTTTGGTTTTTAGCTTTAGTAACTTAGAAATTGACTAACGTCTAATTTTGGTTTTTAGCTTTTAATGTTTAGACTCATGAATAAGCTTTGTTTTGGCATTACAACGTTGCAAAGTTTACATTATTGAGATTTTTAATAATACTCAATTTTTTTTTAAGTTTCTTCTTTACAAACCAATTTCAATGGAATGCTATGTTTTGGAGCATTAAATCAACAATTAGCGTTACTCGTGAATGCATAGTATCATTTATATCAGGATACAATAATACAGTCTTACAGACAGTTTTAAACCGTGCAACTTATAAAGTTTGAAATGTTGTGTCGTTTATGTTATCCTTACACTCCAGGTCAAACTTTTTAGAAGGACTTATCTTATCATAAAATTGTATCTTAACCTCTTGAACATATCTTTTGGTCGCCACGAAGTTCGTTTTCTAAGTAAGAAACTTGACAAATTGAGTATGTTTCATTTGTCTGTGGTGTCAACTTCGCAACGTTGTATCAACAGAATTAGTAGTATTACCGTATCAATAGAAATATGCATTCAATAAAAACACTAACTATTGATAAAATGTCACAAAATGTTAAAAAATATTCAATGGAATTGTTTATCAAAAATAAGATAATTAATAATATGAGAATTTAAAAGCTCAAATATGCCAACTTTGCGACGCTGTGTCTCGGAACCAGACGTATACTCAAGCTGAAATTTGTACTAGAGGTTTCCCTCATCATAATGTTTCATTTGGGTCACAAACGAATGGAATCCCTGAGTTTCAGAAAAGGGGCCAAAAAAGGCCCTTTTTTGAGAGGCTCTTTGATCATAAAATTCATTCTTGAGTTCGAAAATCCTTCCAATCCTTTGGGAGCCCCCTCCGCTTCCAAGATGGGAGCCTTTCCAACTGCCGAATAATGTATCTTTTAATAACTTTCTTAAGTTCCACTGGATTTGATGTTTGAAATGCAATTACACCCTCAGAGGGACGTGATTCTCCCCCCCCCCTTCCATGTGGTCGCTATTGGGGCAAGAATGACAAGATTTCGTTACAGCAACAAATGGGGTATCAATTTCTATCTATTTTGGCGAATGAACCCAAATTTTGACGAAAAATTTGACCTTTAAGGACACTTCAAATTTAATTCTAATCGATAATTAATCAGCAAATCATCATGAATCAGATATGTAATCTTCACCCTTTATAGCAGCTCAAAGTTGAGCTACTGCATGGATTGCCTTGGTTATAGTTGCCCATTTACACTTACCAACACCTTGTTTCTTCAACTTGATGTGTACATAGAAACGTTTCGTACAGTGTTCAACATCATGCGGATTAATAATGCCACAGAAAGTCAAGCTAAATTGATACTGCTCTTCTGCTGGCTGTCCTCTTTGAACTACTGTATGTACTTCTGCTTCTTGGTTGCTTAAATTTGCTGTTGATATTTTTGGTTTATATAAAGCCCTGAAAAAAGGAAAAAATCTGAACATGAAAAAAGGAACGGAACAAAAGTTGGGATGGGAAAAAGGGCAAAGGAAAAAGAAACCAAAGACCATGTCTGCTCAGTATTTTTAGGGAGGGGGGTGGTGGGCTTATTTTGTAGTGAGGGATCAATCCGTACAAATGACTATGATTCAATCAGCCAACAAGATAGTGGAATGGAATGAGCTAGTGGATAATAGATAATAGTAGGGGGCTACGCCCCCTGGCCGCTACGCGGCCCAACCCTCTGAAGGCGCTTCGCGCCATCAATGGGCCGCTTCGCGGCCCTATTTTTACCTTTCTATCAGTGTTGGTTTCATTTTTCCCCTAAAAAATTACGATATGAGGTATACTTTACTTTTAGAATGAAATAATTTTTGGTTTTGATGAATAAAGAAAAAAAATATTTTTTGAAGTCAAGAGGACGCGTTTTGGAATGACTGCTTGATGAAATATTGCAGCAAAACGACGAACATTGATAATCAGGTAATAATTAAGAGTCAGGAGTCGGGGATCGAACCCACACCGTGTTCCAAGTGGACGCATCCGACATCTTAGACGGCTCGGCCACCGCCCGTATGGAGGGAATCGGCGTGAATCTTGTGTAGATAAATATAGAGCTGATGCGCAGGCTACCCAGCTACTGCGCAACCTCCTCGACCACTGTGCATCCTCCCGCGCATAGCGGTAGCCGTCTCGGAGCATTCCGTAAATTCACTCAACTTTATAACGTGATTTTAAAAAAACCTGGGTCCTATTTCCAAAATCTGATTAGAGCGGGCTCATCTAGGGCCTATTACCTGTCGATTTACGCAAAAATCATAGAAATCGGCCCGGTAGAACGCTCAAACGAACTATGACAAAAAGTATAAATTTACATTGTTAAAATGGGAGAATTCGCAACTTTACCAAGTAATATAAAAAAACCTGGGCCATATTTTGAAAATCTGAAAAGAGTTGGCTTATCTAGAGACAATTGCCCGTCGATAGCCGAAAAAATCATAAAAATCGGCCCTGTAGAACGCTGGAACTGAGCGTTACCAGTTACGCAAAATTAGGAGGTCTTGGAGCTTATATATATGACAGTAAGATAGTGGAATGGAATGAGCAAGAATGATACAGAATGAAATTAAATGTAATGAATGATGTCAAATGTGATATGAAAATGGTGGCATCTATGATATGAGGATTATCTCTCTTAAAAAGTGATAAAAGGAATGATGTGTGTTCTTGGCGAAACACACGTATGCCGGGTATCTCAGGAGCTAACACTAATAATCCGATACAACTTTTTAAGGCTACAACGTCTACAAGAGGCCGAAAAATAGCATTGCTCATGAGTCTTGACAAGAATGAACAAGGAGAGGCCTAGGAACTTACATGGGAGAGCAAAATGAGTGAATTGATCAAAAGACGAAAACTGAGATGTGCAGCAAAGAGTCCCAGTATGCCATAACATGATAAGCTCTGGCAACTTTCCGGCATATCCCCTCTTTCGTCTGGACTATTGACCAGAGTGAGAGATGAATCTGACGAACGTGCCTCCGCATTCTTGCCAACATCATCAACTCTGCTATAAAGCAATATCTCAAGCATTGAGCGTCCCTCCAGTTAGTAGTATACATGCAAAACAGCAGTATTGAGCGTAGATACTATAGTCCTGTCAAATTAGGAAAATTAGAGGAAAAAATTCCCATACAAGCGATTTATGGCTAGAGTTGCTCGTTAGGGTCTAGAGAGGCACAGGCTAAAAGTCCCCATTGAAATCCCTTGCGCTTAGCCCCCCAGGCCCCCCTCCCAAAAGGCTTAAAAATCGATTTTTCGGCTAAACTTCGAGAACGGTTGGAGATTGCGAGTTGCGTATAATTGGGAAAATGTTCCTCATAGAATTTTGCACAAAAAGGTTTCTTATGCTTTTTCTTCTCCAGGCACTCCTTGATCCTCAAAATGGCCGCCGCGTATAGGGGCGTCACAGCGCGCTTCCTCAATGTACACGCAAATGTGCGGCTCTAGACCGCGCTGCCGCCGCGCCGGTTGCTGCGCCGTCGAGTTCTGAACCTCCTCACCCTGACACCCTCTATACATGCCTGGAATTTACATGATATGCAATAATTATGTACACTTGACTTGTTTGCTATGGAAAATTCTGTTTTCAGTAAGTAAACTTTGATGCTTGAGAAATGGCCTTTGGGCGAGATAAAGCTTAAAAGCAAGAACATTCAGTTGAATGACACTTTATTCCTGGTTATTGCCCCACATATTTGCGCGGTAATTTTTTTTTTTTTTTTTTTTTTTTTTTTTTGGTAGGTAAATCGTTTGTAGGTCGATTTTTAGTTTTTAAAAAGATCAAAAATCAAGGGCGTAGAAGGAGGAGGGAGGACAAAAAAAGGAGGGAAAAAGCGGTCGGTTAAGGAATGACAAGAACTTTATTTATGAATTACAATTTTAGTAGCGGTTAAATAATAAAATGAAAATGAAATTAATACAATTTGTGCCGTCACTTTACGTTTGATTAAGTAGAAAATCTATGAGAACAATGAAGTAGTAACATTATAGGAATAAAAGGGGGAAAACCGAAGTCTGCTATGATTAAAAAAGTCGACATCTCTTTGATGTGGTTGTATCATTTTCACAAGCTTTTCACCTTGCGGGAGTTTTTGCATGACTCACTGCAGCAATTTGGACATATAATGGAGCACTGGAGACCGGATTTTCGACATCCGCATGCCTTGCCGCATCCTTTTGTGCATTTGCAAAATATTGAGTTCAGCACTTTCTCTGGTGCTGGCCTTAGGTACATGTGAACAGGAGCAACTTGGACCCCTTCTAAGTGCGAGCCCTGGTCTTGAGGAGGCAATTGATTGCCCAGCTAGTGCTCCAGTATCTATCCAAATTGCTGCAGTGAGTCATGCAAAAACTCCTGCAAGGTGAAAAGCTTAGAAGATGAGGAAGAAAATGTAGACGATGTCGAAGTGCTTTTTGATAATGATCTTGAGGAGGATATGCAGGAAAAAGAGAAAGAGAAAGAGGAAGATGAAACTAGAATTATTCAACCACATCAAAGAGACGTCGACTCTTTTAATCATAGCAGACTTTGTTTTTCCTACTTTCCTTCCTGTAATGTTACTACTTCATAATCCTCATAGATTTTCTACTTAATCAAACGTAAAAAGACGGCACAAATTGTATCAATTTCATTTTCATTTTATTATTTAACTGCTACTAAAATTGAATTTCATAAATAAAGTTCTTGTCATTCCTTAACCGATCGCTTTTTCCCTCCTTTTTTTGTCCTCCCTCCCCCTCCTATGCCCTTGAGTTTTGATCTTTATAAAAACTGTGAATCGACCTACAAATGATTTACAAAAAAAAAATTACCGCGCAAATATGTGGGGCAATACCTAGGAGTAAAGTGTCATTCAACTGAATGTTCTTGCTTTTAAGCTTTATCTCGCCCAAAGGCCATTTCTCAAGCATCAAAGTTATTGCACATCATGTAAATTCCAGGCATGTATAGAGGGTGTCAGGGTGAGGAGGTTCAGAACTCGACGGCGCAGCAACCGGCGCGGCGGCAGCGCGGTCTAGAGCCGTACATATGCGTGTACATTGAGGAAGCGCGCTGTGACGCCCCTATACGCGGCGGCCATTTTGAGGGTCAAGGAGTGCCTGGGGAAGAAAAAGTATAAGAAACCTTTTTGTGCAAAATTTTATAAGGAACATTTTCACAACTATACGCAACTCGCCATCTCCAACCGTTCTCGAGGTATAGCCGAAAAATCAATTTTTAAGCCTTTTGGGAGAGGGAGCTGGGGGGCCAAAAATCGCTTGTATGGGAATTTTTCCCCCTAGTCCGGGATATTGATCTAATTTGACTGGACTACTTCACTATGACATCAATGATTCAGTAACGTTTAAAGATACAGGCTAAATTTGCTTCAATAGAAGATGCATTATCACTCTAGATTAATGTTGTAATTTTCAAAAGCAAGCATTGTTAACATCTCTGAGAAAAATTAGACTTACCTGAATGTCAAAAAGTCATCACCCCAATCTATAAAGTATTCTTCTGTTTCCAGTCCAACTTGTAGGAATAAATGTGATGGTGTTTGATGCCATAAAACAAGCGGAAATTTTCCTAAAGGCACTGCTGGTCGCAAGTCTGATTTCTCCGAGTAGTTGACTTCAATGGCATCATGACTGTTTTTGTGTATGAGAGTCTCGGATGACTGATACACTGGCGAGGGTGCTTTCCTTTCAATTTGAAAGGAGGCTCGATCCTGATTGAAAAATAATTCAGCAATAAGACTAACATGATAATTTTTAAAACTGAAAAAATAGGCATTGTAACATGCAGAAATGTTTCGAGATGAGTAAAAAGGAGTCCATTTATACAGAAATAAACTGACATTGTATCTATTAGAACCACTTTAATAACTCGACATTTTTAAGTAATTTTTGTGTCAAGGGATTCGAAAAAATCATTCAAGGGATCAGGGGAATCAAGTGATATTTTCCATGGAAAAGGGCAGACTTTCAAATGTTAACCAGGATTATGACTAAATTCAGAGGTAATACACCCGTAGCAAAATAGATTGGCAGGTTTATACATGGGGTGTTCCAAAATGACTTGGACTGGCCATTTGATTAAAAAACTGAGCAGACTATTGAGCTGATCTTGGTTCCATTAGAAAGAAGATGTGAATGGAAATTGATTGAAACCAAACTAGCTCATTAAAACTAAAATTGGCACAGTTACAGCAGTTTGAATGAGGGATGTAAAGAAACCGCTCAAGGTTTTTTTCTAGCAAACTACTCTTGACAAAATATGCATTTAAAAGTCTTGAGATCCTCTATTGCGAATGAATGCTGCTTTCTCACATTGAACACAACTTGGTGATGCTTTTGGGTTGTTGTACGACTCTGGACGAACCGATGCTAAGGATGCAAAAATCTTTCCTTGAATTGGTTACCCGAAAGAGATTGGAGAAGTTTCATGTGCATGTGTTGTTTTACCAGGCGTGAGTGTCTTGTGAAATTTCTCATTGTTTTTTGTGCCACTTTTCATAACTTTTTTTGAACAAGGATAGATACGAAGACTCAATGATAGAACAGAACAGTTTTGAAATAAAATTGCAAAAAAAAGAAAGGAAAACAATGGAAAGTTGCACTAGAAACTTCAGAAGTACATCAGAAACTTTGCTGCTTATTTTCTCGTGACCGATTCATTTATGGGTTTTTGCATTGTTATTATGGATACATCTTAAGACTTACGAAGACCAGACAGCGTTAATAAATTGTGTCAGATGTTCCAAAGCGGTATACATATGTCGGCAAAAGAGCAGCTTAAATGTTTTATTTGCACATTTCTGTAAAAGTAGATTATGAAAAAATCCGTAGGTGGTTGTCATAAATCTCTCATTCAAACTGCCGGTGACTTGGCCAATTTTAGTTCACATAACCTGATCTTGGTTTCAATCGATTTCTTTTTGTGTCTTTCTCAGATGAAACCAAGATCAGCTTGATGGGTTGCATAGTTTTTTAATTAAAGTTTGAGTCCAGGTCATTTTGGGACACCCTACAATCCTACATATCAGTGCCCCAGAGTCAAAAAGGGCCTAAATCACATCATTGGAAAAATCAAGTAAAAGGTGGTGTGGAAATCTCCCATAGCGGTTGTGTGTGTGGAAAATTTTGTAGCCCTATCTTACGCCGGTTAGGAAATGCAGAGTTTCGAAAATTACGATTTACATTGGAATCAATGGTGCCACCCCCCCCCCTCCCGATTTTTCTCCTGATGTCTCGGAATGACTAAGAGCAAAGTTTCCTTGGAAAAATTCTCCCAATTTCTGGGAAATCGTTGGCATTGCTTAGGGTTAAAATTAAAGCACATAATGTCAGTGCATTACAGGCTACTGGCATGGAAACTTGCTCACAATCTCATTCAGAGACATTTATTATTGCTGATGTACCTACTTGTTAAACTCCGCCCAGAGGCGAGTTGTTTTTCACCAGCTGGTCCCAAGCCTAGGAAAAGGAGGAGGGTTGTGCATAGGGCTAGCAACCCTACCACGTAAATTCACCCAAGCTACGAAATCCAAGACGAATCCTCGGTACCCAAACAACCTACAGATAAAGGGACCTAAAGATAATGGATCATGGAAAAAACCAAGGACATCATATTGGCCACATGGAATGTAAGAACCATGAAGAAAGCAGGAAAATTTATGGAAGAAGCCAAAGAAATGCAGAAATGTGCCATTGACGTCATGGCTGTTCAAGAAATCAGATGGCAAGGAGAAGGGAGAATAGATAAGAGAGAATTCAGCATGATATCAAGAGTGGCGGTAGCCACCCCCGGTCGAGGAAAATGACGTCCTACTAAAGTCCCGATAACAAACAGGTGCCCGATACAGTGGAACAAGTAAAAACACAGGGCAATTTGGCACAGGATTCTTACTATTCAAAAAAGCAAGAAACACTATCCTGGAATATGAAACTATCAACCGCGGAATATGCAGAAAAAGAATAAAAGGAAAATTTAGGAATATATCAATTGTGTCAATACACGCACCAACAGAAGAGAAAGAAGAAACAGAAAAGGAAAGTTTCTACAATGCGTTTGAGGAAATGTGTACAAAAATAAAAAGTGAAGAAATGAATCAAATTGATCACGTGCTAGTATCCTCAAGACATATGTTATCAGTAATTGATGTGAAAAGCTGCAGAGGACCTAACTGCGACTCAGACCATTTCCTTGTAAAAGTTGAAGTTAGAGAAAAAATCGCCAATGTAATGAAAGGGCCCAAACAAGAAACGAAGTGTTGGGCCACAGAAATCTTAACAAGAATAAAGAATTACAAAAGAAGTATGAGGATGTCTTGAATAGCAAGGTAACGCGAGAAACAGATGGAATAGAAGGAAGGAATCAAACGCCTGAAGAGATTTGGACAGTAACCGAGAAAGTCATTTTAGAAACAGCAAAAGAAACTATGGGAGAAAGACAAAAAACCAAAAATGATGAATGGTTCGATGAAGATACATGAACATCATAGATCAAAAAGACGCTGTAAGAAAAAAGATGCTGCAAAGAAGCACAAGAGGGAATGAAGAAAGGTGTCATAAAGCAAGAAAATAAGCTAATAAGCTTCTTAGAAAAAAGAAAAGAGAAGCAATGATCCAACAAATGGAAGAAATAGAACAACTAAGCAAACAAAATGAGAGTAGAAATTTTTATGCTGCAGTGAAAAGAATGAGAAAAGGATTTCAACCAAAATCAAGCGGGTGCAGAAGTAAAGATGGTCAGTTAGGATCTGGGAGAAGAGAAGAACACAATGGAGAGATGGGCAGAACATTTCGAAGAGCTGCTAAATGAAAGGGAAAGGATGATACAGAACGAGAAAGAAACAACGGAAAAATAAGAAGATCACATAAATGAGGATGATTTGTCACAAACACCAAGTATAGAAGAAGTTGCAGAAAGAATTAGAAGAATGAAAAATAACGAAGCTCCAGAAGATGGAATTACATCAGAGCTCCTTAAAACGAAGGAATAGAGCTCTATAAGGAATTTGAAAAAAGAGCAAGAGATTTAGGATTAATTGTAAATTTAATTAAAACCAAGTACATGGTATTTTCATCCTCTGAGTCAAGAAGAAAACCGCAAGACTTAATAATTGATGCAAAGAATTTGAAGGAGTCAAGAAATTCAAGTATCTAGGAAACCTAATCGATAATGAAGCCAGAACAACTACATCGGTTAAAGATGGAATGCAGGAAAGCAGGTATTGCAGCATATTATGCAAATTTAAAGCTAATAAGAAGCAGATTGATATCTCGGAAGACCAAGTTACAAATATATAAGACCCTAATTGGACCAATCATTACGTACGGCGGAGAAACGTGGACTATGACAGAGAATGATAGGAGCATGCTGCGAAGATTTGAGTGAAAAATCATAAGAAGGATTTTTAGAGCCATTAAAGAAAATGGAGAATGGATAATTCGAAATAACAGCAAAATCGACAAAATACTGGAACAAGAAGATACAGTTCGATTCATTAAATTGCAAAGAATTCAATGGCTAGGACACGTTAGCAGAGGGGAGAAGGAAAGAATGCGGAAGAGAATCATGGAATTCAAAGTTCTATCGAAGAGAAAGAGAGGAAGGCCAGGGCTAAATGGCAAGATGAGGTAAAGAAAGATGTTAGAATTATGAAAGTGATAGGATGGAAAGAAAAGACCATGGACAGAGTAGGATGGAGATGCATCGTTTTGGAGGCCAAAGCCCACCCCGGGCTGTAGCGCCATTAGTAAGTAAGTAAGATGTACTTGTTAACTTAAATCCCAAAAACAAAATAAACAAAGAGATCATTACGGTTGCCTACAATTTTTTCTCAGGTATGGTAAAAAAGCCATTCAGATTTTTATACCTCACAATAGGTTGTGCCTAAGAATGAATAAAGCAAAATGCATTGCACGAGAACATTATTCCAGGTGTTACTTGAAACAATCAGAAAATCTTAGTAGCACCTGACCATACCAAAAAAAAGTTGACCTTTTTCTTCAAATGACCCCTGAAAGTTTTACCTTTAAGGGGATGCTCCAATAAACCGGAAAGAAAAATGATAATTTTGTGATAAATTAAACGATCAAAAACCATCAAAATAACACTAGTGACCACTCCTAGTAAAAAAATCCTTGATTTTTTGTGAATCCCACTCTAAGTCGCAAGTACTTTATCAACATTCTGGCACTAAAACCGCTCAAAAAAGTCAAATCATAGCGGAGGTATAAAGTGTCTTAAATTTCCATTTCCAAAAGGTTAGTTTTAAAAGAGTTCTTAAGTAAGGAGTTCATCTGCCATGTTCAGACTTTAAATGAATAGGTAAAGAGCAGCTTCACACTTTAGGCATGCTAAAAATTTCAATAAAATTCTCGCATATCATTCTTTGGGACTACAGATGTTTGCTAGAGAAAACTCAGATTTCAATTTTTGACAAGACCTTACCGAAATTGGTCTTTTAAAAAACTTGTCTTCGTTCATAAGGGTTGGCTGTCTGCACAATAATGCCACAAGTGAACTTAAAATACAGACTTACTCTATTTAGTGTCCTTGAAAACATTTCAAAGGCAAAGCTCTTGAAATCTTCTAAGTCATCTTTGGAAAAATTTTGACAGTAATTCTTGCTGAAGTTGTGAATCTCACTCATTTCCGAGACCTAAAAAAAATATGCATAATCAATTTTCAACTGGTAATTTGTCCTTTTCTTAAAAACACAATCTTCTTGAAAGGCGTTTAGGTATCTTTTTCTTGTAAAGTCTCCATACTCGTTGCATATTAGAAAATCCACATATCGCTAATGAATTCATTTTGAGCACAGCAATCAACCAAGGCACACCTCCCTTTCAATTTCTCAGCAAGGATCAAGTCACATCCTAAAGCCAAGCAGCATGTAAAATACCTTAAGAGCCCCAAAAGAAATTGTAAGTTAAAATTTGATTAAATTGGATGAAATTTCTCTACATTGAGCTTTAGTAGAAATACCTTGATTAATGAGTAATTTTCTGCTATTTCCACTATTTCAGCCCGAAATTTTCGAGAAATGAACTCTCAAAGACGCCTTGGCAGATATGTTTTTCTGAAACTTCCTGTAATTTGGCACCAGGAATTAATAATGGTTTCCACAAGAAACGGAGTTTCAGTCTTTCGCCGGGCAGGCAGAAATTATCAACCCGGATAAAATCTCAACTCAGTCCCTCTGCTTTTTTGTCTTTATTTTAAATAATTGTCCTCCTAAATTTCCTCTAACTCCATGGAAATGTTTAGTAAATGCAATTAATTTTCATTAAAAAAACCCCCTCAAATTGTCAGTAAAGGAATTATCTCTAAAAAAGGGCAGATTTCGGGGAAAAAAAACTGAAATATATCAAAATTTCTACCTGCCAATTTCTTTATTTCCCTGGTGAATTTTTGTATAGAATACATTAAATTTTTTTTTAGGTGTTACACCGATATAAGTTGTAAAAAATCCGTTTTGATGCGAGAGGAACTCATATTTCTTTCAAAAGTAAGCCATACCAAAATGAGGACTGAGTTGAGAGGAAAAAGGTGAGATAGAGAGATAGATGTGATGGAGAGAGTGTTTAAGAGGAAATTGGGAGGAAGGAAGGAGGGAGGAGAGAAGAGAGGGGGTGAGGGGGAAAGAGGGAGGAGAGGAGGGGAGACAGACAGAAAGACAGACAGACAAAACGGATCTCACAATCGGTTTTTCTGACTGTCTTCTTCTATATAATATATCCATGTAAATCCATCTGTCATGATAAAATTACTGACCGTTTGACAAAATTCTATCCTGTCACACGGACAAATACAGTAGGAGAAAGAAAGTAACAAACCCATTCAATGACAGCAGAAACTACTCATTTCAATGAGGATTTTCAAGAACTCAGTCCCCATTTCTCAACACAGCCCCCTCATTAGGGGACTGAGTTGAGGGGACTGAATTGAGAATTCTGCTTGTTTTGATGGAAGAAAAAAGAGGTCATGTTTAACGCCAAAACAAAACGAGCTCCTTGATTAGGACTAAGTATTACATTAAATATCTTAAAATAGTTGAATTTTGTTGAAGCTTTCCTTATAATAATGCAGGGACTGAGTTGGGCAGGTTCAGGATGATTTTAACGTTCACACTTAAAACAGCGCCCTTGGTAGCTCCTGTATGAAGCAAAAAGTAGGGGGACTGAGTTGAGATGAAAACCTTGTGACAAGCCTTCTGTCTCGTCTCACGACGGGAATACTGTCAGTTTTCTAAAAGCAGACCAAAAAAAATAAAAAGTAGAAGGTCCATACATTCTAAAAATGTCAAGTTTGAGTAGATTAGCTTCGGTTTCCAGCACCCTAGAGCCGTTTGAATTGAGGAACCTTAGTCGTGTGACAGGGACTGAGTTGAGATTTTCTGCCCAGTAATTTCTGCTGTTCTCTGCTTGCCAGGAAACAGAGGTTTAGTTCTACGATTTTTTCCGAGTATGCACCTGACGCAGAAAGTTATTCTTGACAAAAAAAATTTATCTGAACTCTGTTGATTGATATGTGTGCCAGAAAAGCCCGTATGACAGGAATAGTAGAAATAGCAGAGAATTACTTTAATAATTCTGATTTATGTGCATCCAGTTTGAAAATCAAAACTATGTATCATTATCAATATTAAAATGCTTAGAAAACATAGAAAATCTTCATTCATTACTCAAAAAGAGATTTAGAGAAACGGTTGGAATACCTCTGTAGAGCTTAGACTAGATACTTGAGAAGAATCTTCATCATCTTCTTTCTCTTCCTCTGGTTCATTGGTGAAATCATCAGACAGAGAAGGTTGTTGTTGATTCAGAAGCAAAAGCTCATTTTTCATTGGCTTGGCAAAACCCCGGTCTAATAAATCTTGATTGACACTATACGTAATGTTATTCAAATCATGCAGAGCAACTCTGTATCTGCGACCTCCGGTTCGTTGAGCTTTGCATTCAATTCGAATCGTCTGAAATCAGAAAGTTAATATTTTCAATGGTTCTTCTCAACACGATTCAATTTTTTAAAATTGACTCGGCGGATGGAATCATGAGGCAAATTCATAATTCTGATGAAGAAGTACATGCATACATAAGAGTCGCTTTTACAGCGTTCTCCGGTGCTCTGGAGTGCCTAACAGTTTTAGACCTTAATCCTCCAAGACCTTGTCTAGGAGCTACAATTCCCTCCAGGGGCTCGATGAGGAGGCTCCTGGATAAAAACACTAAAGCTAACAAGTCAACCAATGTTCAAGCCAAAAAATAAAAGCAAAATAGAGAATAGTTGTCTGAGAGCCGAGAAAAATCCAACTTTATCTTACTTGTGATTGCCCCTCTAGTTTAACTAATCTCTTAACAGAATATGAATTCGGGTTGTTGAAAGAAGGGTGTATCTTCGACTTTATTTGATAAGTTATTGAAGGCAAACCTTCTCTAAAAGAGACGGTGGATAGCAACAGTGACATCAAACATTTTCATCAAACATCATTAATCTCATAACAGGACGAGTTCTCTTGAGAGAGGTATGGCCTCCTGTTTGAACCAACATCAGTTCTGTTATGAGGAAATATCGCTTAAGTGACATGGATTGAAATCATTTGTGAAAATTTGTCCCACATTGGTACCTATGTTAACATCAAGCTGCAATATTAGGGGCTGTTTAAGTGTTACGTAGGCCACTTTGGAAGGAGTTCAGACCAGAGATCATGTAAGCCTCTCAATGTAGAAAAAAATTACATCTTCTAAAAAAAGAATGCACTTTTCCAGCAATTTTTCGAGTTTTCTGCGTAAGTCTTGGGGAAAAGGGGGGGGGGGTTATCAAGCTAAGGTTCCATACTTTGAGGGGGGAATGAGGGGTTGGCAGAGAGGTGGCTTAAAAGGGGGGCCAAAATGGCTTACAAAATTACTGAGAAGCCTCTTATTGGGCCTGATTTGAACTTAATTTCTATTAAATTGCTATCAAGCTGCAAAACTTCAGTAAATTGATTTTTTTGTTTAGGAACCTCTCAATCACAAGTTAGAATTTCTATCCATGAGTCAATATCCAAAAATTGTACTGCACTACAAATGGCGCTTAAGAAACAGGCATCTATACTTGCGGCAATACTATAGTGTAACACAAGCTTAAACCATAGACATGCCTAGATGCCTGCATTTCATGTACTATCGCCGAATTTAGTTTCACGCATAGGCCGCTCCAAATCAAATGTAAACTGTGCGACGAGGCGCAGCGCGGCGCACTATGGTCCGAATAGCCGGTTTAAGCGGCAATAAATCGAAAAAGTGAAGTTTGGAAAAAGTTAGATTTTAAGAGGTAGATCGATACTACATACTGTAGAGAAGACTCCTGTAAAATTTCACTTCGATTAAAGCACTAATAAAGATGTGACAAGCCTGGGAAGTGCGGCGCGCGGAGCACTTTATGAGTGCGATTCCAGTTACCGAGCGGCAGTGCTGTGTTTAAGGGCTTGTTTTCGTCGTTTCACCGTACCTGAAAGTGTTTGGGCACTTGATTCACAAAATACAAGATAAGTTTAAGATGTTTCATGCTGAAACTGTTCTTTTTCATCATATCTAATGTTCTAGATTAACCCTTAGACATAGTCACTTTTTTCAATAAAATCGCAAAAGTAGGACCCAAAAAATATCTTTTGCACCTCTGAGCACCTCGTAATTTTACTCGGAAGTTATTCTCATGACTCTATACTACCTTTTAGTCTGAGTGGCAGAACCATAGTCCACCATAGCCTCAAGTTATTTCTCATGAAAAATGACGTTTTCGCGTTTCTTATCACTTACTACAATTAGCTATCATATGCCATTGACGATGACTTTTATCATGTTCCATTGTCATATTCTAGCAAATCGAATGCATTAGAGCCTAAATCTGCCCAGGCAGAATAATACGAGTTGATGGGGTTGATCGGGACCAATTGAAACTTTGTGCTCAAGAACAGCAAAGAATCGCCTCGGGAGGCTACTTTGAGGCCCCGTAAAAGTTTTTTTTTGACGTTTTAAGTGTTTCAAACATATAATCTATCAGTGTAGATATATGTTAGCATAAGTTTAGCTTGGCAGACGAAAACAAGTCTAAACGGTTGATCGGTGGGACTTGAAAGTAAGGCTCCCGAGCAATGAATTGTCTTAGGAAGCCACTTTGAGGTCCCGTAAACGTTTTTTTTTACGTTTACCCATGTTTCAAACAAATAATCTATCAAAATGGATATATTTAAGCTTAAGTTTCGCTTGGCAGAACGAAAACAAATTCAAATGGCTGATCGGTGGGACTTGAAAGTAGGCCTCTGGAGCCATGAAACGTAGAAGTATTATCCTGAGCTGTCTTTTTCAAGTTCCCTTGATAGTAGTGTTTGACGAGGCTCTACTTTTAGCTTCTTATAGTCCATCCAATTTAAAATTAATTTTTAAACTTATAAAAAAAAAAAAAAAATTTCTACCGAGAATCGAACCCGGGACATCAAAAAGATAAGTGAGATGCGATGCCAGCTGCTCCACCGCTTCATCTTGGATTACCAGCCTCAATTTAAGGTTTCTGAACAAATTATTACCACAGTTATATAAAGTATAAAAATGTTAAAAATGGATTTCTCCTGAAGAATTTTAGCATTTTTGCACTCAGCGACCCTAAAAACCCCTGAAAACTCATGTTGCGAGATTTAAACATACGTATCTGATTTAATGCCGCTTAAACCGGCTATTCGGACCATAGTGCGGCGTGGCGCGTTTCGGAGATATCGGGTGCTGACTGGACCTATCTCATCTCATGCCAACGAGGAAAACGGAGGCACATGAACAATTGACAAATCTACTACTTTTTCAAGAAAATATCCCTCAGACAAGCATCTACAGGTGCAAACCCATAACAGACAGCGCAACACCGCGGTCACTCGAAAATAGAGCTGAAATTTCATGAGAGGCAACTGATTTTTTTCTTCTAGACGCCGCCGCGCCGTGCCGGCAGGTTACATGGAGTTCTTTGGGACAAAGGCGTATGAGCCCTTTTTCGGGAGAACGCGTTTTCTGAAACTGGATTCTTCCTAGTTTCAGGAAATATACATAGTGTATTAAAAAGTCCTGCCCCCCCCCTTTTTACATAACGATCCACGTTATCTTGTAGGGATCATAGGGGAATGTAGTCACAATGTTCCGTTTTTGCAAGTATACTCTCAAAGACTTGTTCTTTCAAACTAATTAAATTTCCTGCGAAGATATTGGCTAGTACCAACGCTATACACTTCTAAACTTTCAAATACGATTTCCGCGGAACTACCTTTTTGAGCACACACCCTTGTTACAAAGGATCCTTAATTCAGGATATACTTCTTCGCGCAGGAAGTTTGAAAATGACGCAAAACTGGTCCGCTGTTGAATATGAAAGATTACACAAGTATACACCGAAAAAAAAATGAATGCTTCATTAGTGAATTCTCGTGTAATATTCAGCCCTGGGTCCAAGTATGACCTCGGTTTGTCCCTGTCTCTGCCATTTTCCAGGCAAATTGGGATTATTTAAACATGAATTTTCCTAGGAAAATTTGATTTTCTGGAAATTGATGCATGATCGAGATAAACCGAAGTAATTCTTGAATTTAGGGGCCAAAGATACATAGACACTAGCCAGACATGTATTGCATACCGCATGTCCAAAAAACATGTCTCCCTTTTTCTGATGAGGGTTTTCCGGTCAAAATGGCATTATCCACCCACGAATCCTATATAAAACTGATCCGTTGTTTTGAGTCTGGAAGGACAGAAAATCATTTTATTCAGATAGCTATAATTGGGCTACTATATCTTATTTTTTGCTTCTGACCCCGAATCGACCTTTGTATTTTCCACAACCCACTAATTTTCCGAAAGATCGAGTTTGCACGAAAAAAACCTCTTATTCAGATGCCAAAAATACGCATTTATATAAACCTTCGGATTTCCAAAATATTGGTCAGAAGTATATAAAAAAAACCTGGCCATTCTCTGATCTAGCAGCAAACATATAGTTAGTGGAAGGTCCTCTATTACGGACCTAGATAAAATAATTTTTTCGTTCTTTCGGACGAAAAACAAAATGATGCGTTCCACATGATGCTTTACAAGCGCATTATGTCATTTGACTGGAAAAACATTGTTATTTGAAAAAGTGAGAGACATTCGTTGGACGTGCAATACCTGCATCCTTTTGTATTTTTAGTTACTCTATCCAAAAATTACCTTATTCATTTCTATGGGACACCAGTTCCCTCGTAAAATTAAACGTTCCTCGCATGGACGGACTGGCTCACATCTAAGAACGTGGACCCTTGGCCGGTTAAGAGGGTGTCGTATGATATTTCCCGGGGGGATGCACCCCCAGAGAAAATTTTTTAAAATTGAACGTGTTAAGTAATCGATAGAGTTGTGAAACGAAGAAAAAGAGAACAAATCACAGCTACCAGACGCATCCAAGTTCCGTTATTTCCAGAGATTCCGAGGCAGATCTGGCCACCTAAAATACTGCTTTTAAACACTAAAAGCCTGAAAATGATGAACCCAAGAAACACGTCAGCTGGAAAGATCTTTTTAGTTTCCTCGATTAGAAAATGAAACATGCAATCTAGTTAGCACAAGGTGAAATTTTGAAGGAGAGAGAGAGAGAGAGAGGGAAAAAGAGTGTTGAGTCTAGCAAAGGACAAGGTGTTCAGTAAGGCAAGTAAAAAAAATAGATAGGAACAAATCAATTAAATGCATCAGGTATATACAGCAGGAAGATCCATTCAGCAATAATTTTGTTGGAAATGAGAATGTTTTCAGACGTGACCGAACAATTGGAGCCTAACTTTGTGAGATAGCATAACCAAATTTTATTGAAATTCACGGTCTGAATGGCCTATTTTGGATCCAATGTTGAATACTGACTTTTTGCGAGGAAGGTGCAGTCATTTTAATGATATTTTTATTAACCCTTAAATGCTGAAGCCGGGTTAAATTGCAAGGCTTCCTAACAAAACCTGCTCCGCAGATTGGATGGGGCCGGTTCACACGAGCTTTAGATGTTGGTCTGCAAATCATTCCAAAAAAGAATCGAGTATCAAATCAACACAGTCGAAGAAAGGAGGGACCTATTTGGGCCTCTTTTTTATCTTTTCTCCCGAATCTGAGCGACACCTCATTGGCAGCACATAGCAAAGCATTGCGAGTTCATGGCCCGGGCCATTGCGCCTTCAATTTTGCAGATGCAACACGGACATCCATCAAGCACGAATAGTCGTATCTCTGCGCCGTGATCAACGCGAGCCCTTTCCCTTGCTCCATTTCCTTATTGTGTTGGTTTCGTTTGTCTCACTTGTAGTGGTGCTTCAAAGGCTACGTGAGCAACACAGGCGAAGGTAGGAAAAACGTAATCCGGCCTCGCTTTTTAACTTTTCTCGCAGATCTGACCAACAGCCTAGAGAAGAGCATATTGCGAATTCACACCTTACGACTCACGTCATCGCGCTTTTAATTTTTCGCGATTAAGGATCACTTTCCAAGTCCAAAACACCGACGATTTTTGAAATCCAACAAGTACGGATAGAGAGAAAAGGGTTCAAAGATAAATATTTCAACTCGCATTTATCGTGAACGGTTTGTCATAAAACGACGATCTTAATCTCAAAATATAGAGAAAACCACCACCTTTCAGACAATGATGACAAAATTAGTCCATTTTGAAAATGTCATCCATTGCTTTCACGCTGCCGTAGTTCAAATTTTCAAATTTTAGCTGGGGCGACCTTTAGAGGTCACTCCTAGATAAACTCATTCGTCAAAAATGACAAGATCAGGATAAATGATTAATATGCAATGGATACAGAGAAATCAAAGTTTTCGATCATAAAAAAATGTATGTTTACCTTCAACGGTTCGCTGGGTAGAAATAAGAGGAAAAAAGAGGAACTGCTAACAAAATCGTACCATTTGAGCTTTTTAAATTTAAATCCATCCTACAGAAACGATTTGAAAAAAAGGCATGAATTTTTGTTGATGCAGCGAGAGTCAGCTCAGGCTAGTCTTGTAACATTCATATGTCTTGATATTTTGTTCTTTTTTAATAATTTTCTTCGGGAATTAGCTATAATACGGTATAAAAATGCACAACCTTGCAATTCGTGATTGGTTTGGGGGCATTTGGTGATCTTGGGACTCGGAACAAACCAGGTCCAAGTGTACCACATCCACTTTGAAAAATCATATCTCTCCTCCAACTTGTTCCTCCAGGATGAACTTGTGCTTGTTTTAAAGCTTAAACGGTCTACTTTCATCAAAAAATATTTAGATTACTTTTTGTGCGATTCCTTCAACGTCACAGCTAAAAAGGTGAAAAACTGAACATTTTAACTTCGGCAACGTGGCAACAATGGATGAAATTTCCAAAATGGACCAATTTTGTGATTATCGCCTGAAAGCTGGTGGTTTTCTCAACATTTGTAGACCAATATCATCTTTCTACGACAAAGCGTTAGCGAGATATGCGAGTTTAATTTTTTTACTTTGACTCCCCTCCCCCTCCCTCCGTGATCGTCCGATTTATAAAAGCGTCAGTGTTTTAGACTCGGGAGGAGATCCTCTATCAACTTTGAAAATATTTCGAAGATCAGGCCAAGGTTGAAACGGACAATTTGGAATGAGGTCCTTTCTTCCTTGCTCTAGTCACAGGAACAAGAGGCAAGTGAGAATTGGAATCGATGCGCGATACGTCATTACGAATCTTTGTTTACATTCCAAAGAGCCAAAAACGTGAATTCTCACGGTCAATGAGCGAAAATATCTGTGTGTGTTTCATGTGCGTCTGTGTTAGTGACTACGCGCTCACAGAGGAACAAGTGCGTCTTCATGAGAGCGTTATCAGGCAACGCGCCGCGCCGTTGCTAAATAGTCACCAGAGACTCTGCGTGAAACTAAATTCGGCGATAGTACAATCGCATGATACTTGTGAAACATTTGAATTATTAACAATTCATAAAGTTTCAGGAATTTTGACACTTTTCTTTTCACTTGACTTTACGCTGGTCAAAAAAATAAATAAATAAATAAATTGATTTGCTAAAAAGTTGGAGATGGATTCTGAGTGGGTTTTTGGCTCTGATTTCGAAAATGACCTCCCTAAAACTTAATCAGTTCAGTAATTGCAATAATCTGCTGGATTTTTCTCAGAGAATTATTCCACAAAATATTTCAATGAAATTTTAATCGACTATTCCATGATTCTAATAGAATCATTTTAGACAGAGAAAAAAAGAGTTTGTTGAATGACTCAAAACTTTCACAGTTCCCAAGCAGTTTTTCATCCCAGTAGTACTTTCGCCCAGCATTAATTAGTCTTGATGATGGGTTTACAAGCTCTTCACTTGATATGAACTCTACCAATGGGCAGGAGGCGCAATCCTGAGTGACTTCACCTACTCAGAACTCTCGCAAACAGTTTGTTTCAACTGTTCACAGAGCAAGAGTTCTAAACATCCAATCAGAGCGCAAAAAAATGTTACAAGGCTATTTACATAACCTCGCAAATCAGAACAAATTCTCAAAAAACGTGATCTCGTGTAGTTTCACAAAACCACAGACTGTTAACAAAAATTGAATTTTAGATTAACAACAGGCAATTTGGCGGTAAAATCTCAGCCACGCTAATTTAATGAAAAATTGAGGCCAAAAATTTGTTTTCTTGACGCATTTTGTGAACCATTAATGACTCATTGTGTTGCTTGTCCTCCTTTAAAGGAGAGAAAAGAAACTCACCTTAACTAACATGGTCTTATACACTCCTTCCTCATCCATCATGTATTCATCAATAATACAGGCTGCAGCATCATCCCATTCATTGTTAGTCGTTGGCTGCAATGCTGCTAAAACACACTCCACAGCCTAAAAAAGAGGCAGGAAAAGGGTGGATCACTAGACACGTAGGCAATATTAAGCATCATGATAAATGTTTCCTTATCAAGATGTCATGTGGGAAACACGATTTATGCAATGAAAATTGCTGAGAGTAACTCTAGGGTGCGTCAAAAAAATGAAAGTCTGGAATGTTCCACTCCCCAGGCGGCAATCGATGCCACTTGGTAATAAAACATGTTTGCCGAAATTTAGGCCAATTTCAACCATTTTAACTGGTGCCAAAGGTCAATTTTGTGATGATATTTTGATATGTAGGTATACACTCCGATTTCATACAAGAAAATCGATTTTACGCTGAAATCGTGCGTTTACGAAAAAAATGCCAAAGAACTCGGGTTGTAGAGAATAAAATTTTACTCTGGGAAGACGTCATTTAAACGATGAAAATCAAATTGAACAAGAAAATCTCACCTCCGTATTTATATTTTCGGTCCTCAGAATTTCTAAGGTCTTACAAAGTAGCAATACAAAAGACTCATTTTTCACGAAAATAAGTCAAAAAAGGGTATAAATGAACTGCAGAGAAGTGCTGACGATGCAAATGTCATCAGAACTACCTCAGTTACAAAAGAAGGTCCAACTTTTTGGCACAATCCTCCAAAAAGTGTACGGCATGAAAAGCAGAATCGTGCTATAATAGTAAGGGATAAGTGCGGTTTGACCCGGAATAAATTGCGTAACAAACTTTCCCCATGTAATCGTCATCAGTTGGTCCTCTTGAACAACTTTCTAAAAGTTAAACATGGTCTGAACCCTAAATACCCCTCAAAAAACCTCAAATTCAAAATAGCGGCCGTAATAAAGGGGTCCGGCAAATCGATATTTTAAAATGTTCATTCTGTGTCATGTGATGTATCATTTCCTAAGTAATTTTGGTCGTGGATTACATAAATGAACTCAAGAAGGCCCTCCGGTCAAAGGGGGCGCTCCAAATCAAAGATGGCGGCCAAATTTGAAAGGCAGGAGGTTGCATTTTTTCAAATATTCAAGTAAGGAACAAGGAAAGTGAGGCGTCTCTATCTTCATGTATTTTTGGCTGAGGGACCTAAATTTGATGTTAAAAATGTATTTAATAAAGGAAATTAAAAGAAACATAGGACTACGGAGAGGGATGTACGCTCAAAACCGTGCGCTCCCTTTTTAGGAATTCATGTGTCAACAGGTACTCTCTTCCAATTTTTGTATGTGTTCGCTGTTCCTTAGAAATCCCTGCACATGATTTATCCTGTTTTCCTCCATCAATTTCCTATAACTGGAAATCTCATAAACTTGATCTTGGATTTGGGGCACTCCTCTTGATCCGGGGGGGGGGGGGGGNGGGTGCATTTAAGGCTTCATGTATGAAGTTTACGACTTTTACAAAAGAATGGAAACCCCTTACTTTCCTTGTTCCTTACGTATTTGAAAAAGTGCAACCTCCTGCCTTTCAAATTTGGCCGCCATCTTTGATTTGGAGCGCCCCCTTTGACCGGAGGGGCTTGATGAGTTCATTTATGTACAGTTCAATTATACCCTTTTTCGACGTATTTTCGTGAAAAATGAGTCTTTTGTACTGCTACTTTGTAAGACCTTAGAAATTCTGAGGACCAAAAATATAAATACGGAGGTGAGATTTTCTTGTTCAATTTGATTTTTATCGTTTAAAAGACGTCTTCCCAGAGTAAAATTTTATCCTCGCTGTTATTTTTGTTTATTACGCAGTTAATTTGTTTACGCTATGAACGAACTTTGCACACCACTCGATTAAAAATCCTGCTAAAATAGTTGTGCTGTGCGATTTGACTTGTAAGGACTCTGATAATTCAATTTTTTTGTATCCAGATCTGAAAATAAACGTTTGTAACTTGGTTAGAAGTTAATTACAGTGTTATCATTGCACCAATTGTGTTCTACGTGAAATTTTGAACATGAATCGGAATGTTCAGATTGATAGTAATCCATTGCCGAAGGATGAACAAGAGTATCACAAAAATAATATCTCCACTAAGTGTAACATTTCTTAAATATTGTTAAAATGCTTCAAGGAGGCAACATCAACTCATAGCGCAGTTTGTCTGCGTGAAAAGTAAATAAAAAGCTTTGCCCAAGCAAGATTTCTCAAGATCTTGAGATGGAATACCTATTGGATATGTTATTCAAGCCCAAAATGAAAATGTTACATTAACTTTTTTGGGAATAAAATTGATTTCTGGGTTTTTTAGACCGAGACACTTCCATCAACTTTTTGACTATTTAATCTGAGGGAGAAAAAAAATAATTTTCACACTTATTACACAATTTTTGAAAAGGAACGGAAATTTCTGACCCAAGATTCAGCACTTTTTGAACTGTTTTCTGAATGATTTCACCTATTCTTCCATCGATTCAAGTGTATATTCTTTTATTTCATCATGGTTGTTATGAATTGATAACATTGAATAAGCGGTGAAATTCTTTTGGTCCAAAATTGTACAAGCCTTAGTGACCCAAGAAATGCAATTATGTACAGGGTGATCCAGACCACCCGTCCACTATCTTTTTCTCGAAAACGGCGGAGAATTGAGCTTCGGGACCAAAACTTTCATAGGGTAAATCGACCCCAAAGAATCGAATGAAAATATTTTCAGCCCCCCAAAATGGTCCCTTGGGGGGGTTTTGGGGGGGGGAGCCCCCCCGTTTCTCGCAATTTTCAAATGGGAAGGGTATGTTTTGACTTTGGATTCGGAATCTACGGTAAAAAATAAGAACATTTTGTTTTTTGCACTTTTTCCCTAAACCCCCATTTTTTGGAGTTATGGGGCATTTTTTGGGCAATTTTCAATTCGACGCTGTAAGCGGCCAAATCATCCAAATTTCAAAATCTAAAAATCTCCTGAGAGGAGAGGTCAATATCTTTTTATTGATGTGCCACATGACTCCTGTTGCTCCAAAATTTTGGGGCTTTGGAGGGCCATGAGTCGAAAATGTCGAAAGGCAAGGGTATGTTTTGACTTCAGATTTGGATTCTACGCGAAAAGTTACGTAGCATTGATGTGGCGCATGGCCTGTTTGCTCAAATTTTTTTACCCCTTATTTTGTCCAAAAATACACGGCTTCTTATGGGGAAATGGGGTTCTTCAGTAATTTGGAGCAAACAGGCCATGCGCCACACCAATTCTACATAACTTTTCGCGTAGAATCCAAATCTGAAGTCAAAACATACCCTTGCCTTTCGACATTTTCGACTCATGGCCCTCCAAAGCCCCAAAATTTTGGAGCAACAGGGGTCATGTGGCACATCAATAAAAAGATATTGACCTCTCCTCTCAGGAGATTTTTAGATTTTGAAATTTGGATGATTTGGCTGCTTACAGCGTCGAATTGAAAATTGCCCCAAAAATGGCCCATAACTCCAAAAATGGGGGTTTAGGGAAAAAGTGCAAAAAAAAAATGTTCTTATTTTTTACCGTAGATTCCGAATCCAAAGTCAAAACATACCCTTCCCATTAGAAAATTGCGAGAAACGGGGGGGCTCCCCCCAAGGTGCCATTTTGGGGGGCTGAAAATATTTTCATTCGATGCTTTGGGGTCGATTTACCCATGAAAGTTTTGGTCCTGAAGCTCAATTCTTCGCCGTTTTCGAGAAAAAGATAGTGGACGGGTGGTCTGGATCACCCTGTATTTTGTTATTTTTGAGGATTAGAATTTTTCCACGGCCAAAATTCAGTTCTGAGTTTGGTTGAGCTAAGGGGGGCCGCAGTAAATTTGTTAGATCAGGTTTGAGCAAGAGACAAAAACTGCTGTGCTCTTGTAAAATTACTTCAGAAGCCCTTAATTTTTAGTTCTGAGAGAAATGATCCCGATAAGGATTTAAAATCGCCAAAAATAAGCCGTAGCAGTCTAAAAAAGCCATATAACACCACTTTCCTGTTTGGAAAGTCTTTTTAACAACTCGATGCTAGATGCATTTAATTTTTATCATAATGAGCCTCTAGACAGGGTAAGAACTGGAGGCTCTAAGCACATGAATCTGCATCAGAATTTCGCGTAGAATTCAATGGTACAAATGGGAATTCATGAAACCAACTAATAAGCGAGATATTTGCGTAAATAGACTGCGCATTTTTGTAAATCCCGCTCGCCTAATATACGAATGACGTCACATTTGTAGCCAATAGGATTGTCGCAGCGCTGCGCAGCGCCGACTGAGCATCGGCCATCGAAAACGTCCAACGCTCCTAACGCCGGGACCGTAAACAAACGAAAATTGATAACAGGAAGGACCCAATCACCCAAGCAACTCGAAATCTTTTAATTTTCATTAATTACAGTCCATGTTCGACTTCAAGAAAGCATTTGACAACCATTTTCCTCGTATTTTATAACCTGGAGCCACAGCTTATCGGCTCATTGTAATGTGCACTCTGAGAATCAGTTCCACAAGTCCAAACCCTGACATCCTTTTCTTTGACCATTCTCTTTTCATTCTCGCCACAATTTAAGTGTTATGCAGTTTCTTTATCTAAAATATGTGGTCTTGAATTCATTCAGGAGTCAGAAGTTTACCTTTCTTTTAGTATTACAGCCCTTTGACCCCTCAAACTTCACCGATATGACCTCATGTAGTTCAAGGTTTCTCTGGCCCGAACCGAGTGATTACACATCTGAGGTGTGTCTCATGGTTCTTCAAATTAGCAGTTTAGAACTAAATTAGGGACTACAGTGACTCAATCCAGTTCTGCTTTCTTGTTCAATGTTTGTTATCAGTGTCTGTTCTTTTACGTGACCAATCTAGTGCATGCACTGTTACGCTATAAGTACAGGTATTATTGCTTTTTTCCTGCTGTCAGACCTTTTTCTTAAGCCTGCTGATTCACCACAGAATCTGCCCTAGTTGTGTAAATAATTTGGTGTGTAGTTATTGAGTTAATACCTCCTTGCGGTGATGCAAACTTTCTCAGATCCGTCATAAGTGGGTATTGCATTTAGACGATCACTCGGATCAGATG